TTCACGTCCTCTACGAATGAACTCGACGAAACCCAAGCATTATAAATATAATTACGCATGCGCATATGCTTTACAATAACGTCATACCGTTCCAAGTAACTCGTCGTCGCAGATCTAAAACTCGCTAGTTTGTAGAGTAGGCTAGTTTAAAGCCTCATGCAGGGTAATGTTTCTGCGGAAAATTGTGATATGCTAGGACCATAGTGACAAGCAGGTTAAACGTCAAAAAAGTAGAATCGTGCGCCATTCTGGAGTGAATTTCTATCTTGATTAAACCCATCATTGATGACCTTGAATTTGTATATTGATGATCTTGAATCCATATCTTGATCTTGCATTCATGTATTGATGCTCTTTATATCGTATATGATGATCTTAAATATTGAATCCATGTGATGATCTTGGATGTATATATTGCCGATGATGATCGTGAATGTGTAAATTGATGATCTTTGATAATTTTGTGGGATGTGAAGGCCAGCTAAATTAAAAAAAAGTTTATGGTTGATGTATTGGATATGATTTATGTTGCACGTTAGCCAGAGTAACGGAAAATAAGGACGTTAACTTGTGGTTGAGCGTATACACATTAGCCGGAGTAGAGTGCGATTGGAACCAGAAACATTGATTTGCGTTGAATGTACCTTCGCCAGAGTAACTTGCGTTTGGAACACGTTAGCTGGAGTAAGTGCAATCAAAACGGATAGCAGTGATTGGTAGTTGACGCATACTAGCCGGAGTGAAGTGTGAACCATTGACACTAACTTGTTTTGTTACATATCTGGAGTGATAATTATGTATATATTTAATGCCACCTGTATCTCATTTTTATGCTCTGCCAAACGAAAATGGCAAGGCCTATAAAATAGAAGAGAGGCGGATATTTTTTTTACAGAAATCAGTTGAAAATGAATAATAATTAGAAATAACCAAATTGAAGATAATTTAGGTTGAAAATCCACTGATCCTTTTCGTATTTGCTTTCTATTACTTCGGTTTTTTTATGCAGTTCATATAGGCCTATTTATTTTACAAAGATATTTATGAAACAAGTTGGTTATGCTGAACTTAATGAAAAAATGTTTTAAACAATACATCTTACTTATTAAACAAAATATAACTATACACACAAATCGAAGTTATTGGAAGTTTTACAATTTTATTTATTTCTTAAAGCTGGCTTTAGATACTTTATTAGAATAAGTATGATTGATCAAGGTACGATTTGCAAGTATTATATATAAATTTGGCGTTAGATACATTGTATTGGTGTTCCGTTATATATATTCTTAACTATTTATTGTTTTTCATTGATTTGACAAAAACAGAGTTTGAAAGTATTATTTTACAAACACTGTTTGTGTTAGTGTTTATTTTTTATTGTTATGTGTAATTATAAATTGTTTGAAGATCCTTGATAGACGCATTTCCACGATCGAAAGTTTTCTTTGTGAATTACTGGTAATTATACATAAACATATTTATATCGGCGTATTATGAGGTTGTGGTTGAAATAAATCTCTTTTGACTATGAAAAATGTGAAAACATGACATTCCTTTCAATCGAATGTTGAACAAAAACCTGATTGGATGCAAAGTTCGTTGTAACGCACCCCAACATACACTTTATCCAGAACCAACCTCCCCTCACTTACAAAGCCAAACTTCTGCTAAACCTAGAATGATTAATAACTACTATTCCAATAATGGCACCAAGTGTGCGCACACACTTGACCTACATTACCGTAATCGCTCGTGACTGGGCGGACCGGGACCTCATATCCTATTTCTGTTGAGGCTCGGCTTCTGTATCGTATCTCGATGCTCTCTTTGATTTTTCTCTTCCCAGAGTCTTTCTTTTTGTAAACCACTTGCATGTCCTTTAATTGAACTCTATGTTGTGGGTGTTTGCATGTTCTTCAAATGTCATACATTCGTACCACAAACATTTTAACACAATCACTATTCAAGCACTTAGAAAGCTTGAAAAGACAACAATAAAAGTCAAGAAAGCACAGTTAGATTTTGTTTGGAACTAATTAGTGTTTTCCCGAAGTTTCTTTCCTTCCCACTAACCAAAGAGGTACTATGGTGGCGCCAGGACCTGCCCGACGGAGGGGCTAAAGGCCCCGACGGGGGGGGGGGCTAGTGGAGCGAATCGAGTCTCACTTGGCTGGGGATGTTTGAAGCCACGGATATTTGATGAATTATGGCGAATTTTTATTACTTATTTGATAGGCATCGAGCTACTATAATATGAATTCATGTAGGCTATGCTTTCTAATGTTTAAATCAGCTTCCAAAACCAAAACATTTTGAATAAAGCAAGAAACAAAGAGTATGCCATGTAACCATCTAATTTATTTTCAAATCCTCATTCTTGAAAGTGAAATTCTATATTTTGGAAATTTAGCATGAAATCTGTCAACCACGCTGTCATGGTCGAGGTTGCTTCACCTATCACGATGTATTCATGTGTATAAGAGACAGACATAATATACTTTATCTTAAAAAAACGATTGAATACTTTGAAACCCCTAAATCCCTGGTTCTTAATAGGCGGCCCGCGGGCCAAATTTGGCGGTATCTTACCTGCTTTAACATTATAAACAAAATTATTATTGGCTCATGTTCTTAATTTAAAAAGTAATTTGACTTTCATTTGCAATTATCTTTCTAAAATTACAGTTAAAGACGAAGCAGTATTCAATTTGGTGGGGGCGAGTCGGGTCCGCCCTCCCCTTTGGAAAGTTGTTTTCGGGCGTCTAGAAAACAAAAAAGGGTGGTGTCATGTTATCTCGATTGGCCCCACTGTCGGCCTCTTTTCGACACCCCCCACCCTTCTTTCCATCTGTCGGTCTGGCTCTATAGAGTGCTTTTAGTTGGCAAAAAAAGTGAAAATAGTCAGCAGCTTTTTTCTTCTTTAAGGGTGGGGGAGGGTCATTCATGAGATTAATGTTCAGGCTAATATTATTGTTGGCTTTTAAATCGCTCAAATGATGGGAGGGTGACAAGACAAAAGACGGTTCGCCAGGTCATTTCAACTTATTTCTTTCATTCAAGCTTACTTCATTCATCCTGAAAGTAATCTAGACACGTCCCAGTACCTCACAGCATCGCTAAAAGCGGCCTTTTCGCGGGTCCAACTAAATTGTCAACGAAAAATGGCCAAACACTATTGCTCAAAAAGTGATTTCAAACTTGTTTTTAAACCTTTTAGATTATCTATTTTTTTAATGTAAAAGACTAGTCCCAACTAATCTTCGAGACCGTGTTGTCTACAAATTTGCTTGCGCGGGATGTACGGTAACTGCTAATATTGATTAAACTATTAGACACCAGAAACATGGGAAAAAGAGCACTTGCCTCGGGACGAGTCCTTGATTTCGCTCACAATAATTACCAATTTCAAATTAAAGAAGCCCTTTACCAAACAAACAACTCATTACAATATCACTCATTATTCTAAAGCCTATACACCTGAATCACCACAATCTTCAGCTCTGATCATAACAACTTTCCTTAGGTTTTGTTTGGCTGGTATTATATTAACCGGTATAAGCATAAGCAACATTGCCTGATGATGTGACATGTCATTTATTAGTATCGTTCATTTTACCAGATGCATTACTGCATTTGTAATCACATCGTTTATTGTACATCCCCAAAGACAATCCTCTTAGACAGGACCTATGTGGCGCAAAATATAAAACGAAATGTCCAGAATGTCGATCCGGGGAGTAGACACAAGGAACATACTAAAGACACAGAACTATTCATAGCTGTCGGCAGTTGGTAAATATACAAAAAAATGGATTTTGAAACATGAGCATGTACAATTCTATTACATCTAAATTAATGTTTTCTAATTTTTGTTTTCTCGAAGGAAATGGCACTAACGGAGGGATCTTCACTCTGGGATAGTTTTTTATATACTCCTGTTCCAGTATATTTTCAAATATGGGTATGGAATCTGACCAATCCAGAACATTTTCTTAATGGAGAGGTACCACATATGGAGCAGTTGGGTCCATACACCTACAGGTAAATTATTAGATGCGTACTTGTTATTAGATTAGAAGTGTTTACATCAAAACCTGTGATTGTCTGATCTTACATTAACCGTATAATTAATTATGTCAATTAGAAAAATATTAACATACTTATTACTCATATGCTCTATATACATTTTGAATTCTGAAATTTTAACAAATGACTTATTGATCATAGATACCTTGTATTATGCACTTTCCTAGCCATACCATTAAGTATTTATGTTTAATTAAAGCGGAGAATCAGATATGATGTACGACCCATGGACTTTAGACCTGTTTTTCATTTATAAATTGCAAAATAATTAAGGAGGCTATAAGTCATTTATTTGAAGCATTTTTGGTAAATGCAAAAAGACCTGGACTTCATTTAATACAAAAATTTCCATTGAACATATAGAGCAGCTTAGCTCAGTCGGCTAAACTGGTGTGCGCTAAACAGTTAAGGTCTCTGGTTCCCGGTTCAATTCACGCCGCTGCTCTCCCTGTGTGAAATAATTGGATATTAGTTTGTATTAAGATGCTTCTCAGTTAAATATTTCAGAAATCTTTAAATATTCAAAAATAAAGTGCCGTTTATTAGTATTAGTATGATCCTGTATTGGCATTAGCACCATTATTTAGCAAAAATAGCGATATCAAAAGGTTAATTATCGTTCTGGTTCTTTTTCTTATCATTTTCATTTCATCACCTTCACACGCATCATCATCATTATCATCATCATCATCATCATTATCTTCAATAATATCATTACAAATCCAGTCAAAAACCTTTGTCAATTAGATCCTTACAGAAGTAAATAACGAGCGATTAACGTTGTATTGAATGTTACCCAGTGACACGCTCAGCGACTTTGACCATATAATTGGGAATTAGCGTTTTAAACATTACATTTAAAATTTTACATTAAACATTTAACATCTCACAACAAGTTATAAGAGAAGTGCTACATTAGCAATTCAATTCTATACAGTAACAGCAGAAAGTTAATAGCATTAATGTTGATTGTTCTTTTTAGGCTAGTAATGTTTAAAGAGAACATCCAAGAAAATGAAAACTCTACTGTCAGTTTCACTTCTCCGACAGGGTATGTCTACATGGACGATATGTCGGTGGGACCGTCATCAGATGTATTCACAACCGTCAACGTTGTAGCTTTTGTGAGTGCAAATTTAAATATATTATTAGGCCTAGTTGTATTTCCAATTGCAAAGATACCGTGCATCAACAATTTGAGGGTTCGTAGGAAGTTACTTGGTTACATTGGGCATGCACACTATCTTTTATCGAAAATAGTTAAAATGTTAATGCAGAAGAAAGTTATTACATCACGAACACAGAACATTTACTGAGTTAACTAAATAATAAGCAAATGTGTCCAAAATAAATGTTAAATATAATGTTTAAACCCCACATTCAAGACATATGATATCGGATTGGTGTCCGACGGCTTTGACGGATGCAGAATTTGGTGGTAGGGGTACGCGCAAGGGCACAGATCTGTTAGAAGTGGGGAACATTTCGTGGAAATAGTACCTGTAGATAATATAATATCATGCAGACTCAAACAAGACTAAGAGAAGCCATAGTGATTCAATATTTTGCTCTTTATTCGAACATCATCAGGAATGAAAGTAAGTTTGTCCATAGGGACCATACATCAGAATTGAAGTAACTAACTAACCAATCAAAAGCAAGAAAAATTGACACACATGTCGAGTGTGACATATTCTTAATGAATTAACATCCCACCTTAAAAACAAAATCAATTTTGATAAATTGTGAACACACTGTTAATATGAATAAATAAATAAATAAACTAGATGTTAGTGGCTAGTTGAACAATGCAAGTTCTTTAGATGCTATTATTATTTATTTGAACATGGTTGATAGCGCCTAATAGCCAGGGTTTCATTGAATAATAATTCAGACCAATGTCTAGAAAAGTCAATAACTTTAGTGTTATTGGATATTAAATAATGATAATTAGACCCTGAGCATCATCATAATCACCCCTAATAGGTAAATTATGCATGGCTATGATATGTTTAAATCCATCACATGAACCAACTGTTTTCACAATATAATCTTTATTGCAGCCAGGACATTTTAAATGGAAGACAACAGAACTACGGTATTCTTTGGGCGTCTTTAGTTGAAACAAAGTTTAAAATTTTCTTAGATCGCCAAATTGTTATGAATATAACATCTTTAACTAGGTCTCTTGACTTTATATACCTGTACACAATTGATTGTCCCCCTTTGCCAGTATATGGAAGTCTTACCCATATTTCAATATCACCATCAGGAGGTGCAGGAGTTTGTGTTGTTTTAGTTAGATTATGTTTAAGGTTATGGAGAACATGGTTTGTTACTTTAAATGGTAACCCATTCCATGATATATACTGTTTAATTGTGTTGATTTCCTGATCTAATAATAGTCCAAGTGTGCAAATTTTATGGGCTCTTCTGAACAAGCTTCGTATCCACAAAATTTTGTAACTCCATGGTGTAAAACTATCAAAGTGTATATATTCGCCAGCATGTGATTTCTTACGATATAGATACCCATTTCATTAAAATTAAATTTGAGATCAAGAAAGTGTACATATATGGCCGGAAATGACTATTTTTTATAGTAAAATTCATCATCATCACATCACCATTATATAGTCAAAATGAAACGCTAACAAAGTCTCATGATCTTTTGTCAGCGATTTTTGGCAACCACAAAGACCTAATTAATATGTGTGATGTACTATAGAAAATAAAACTTGAAAACATTGTCTTTGATGTAAATACTTCACCTACTTCAAAGACGTGAGTCTACAACCACCTCATGGTTGGGACTGAGGTGCGAAAATTTGAGGAAACAGAACCTTTATATGGCCGGCAAAACACTTTTATATGGTAAAATTCATCATATCACATCACCATTAGTCTAAATGAAGCGCCAGCAAATATCTCATGATCTTTTATCAGTGATTTTTGGCAACCCAGAGATCTAATTATTATGAGTGATGTACCATTGAAATAATACTAAAGAAACATTTTCTTTGATTTAATTTATTTTGGTATTTAATTTACTTGACCTACCTCAAAACAGTGAGGCAACATCCACCTTAGCCCCACCATGGTTGGGGCTAAAGTGATAAAACTTGATGAAATAGTACCTCTAGATGGCCGCAATGACACTTTAAAATAGTAAATTCATCATCATCACATCAACATTACATAGTAAAAAAGAAAGATGCAAGGGCCAACAAATTTTCATGATCTTTTATCAGCTATTTTCAGCAACCACAGAGATCTAATTGATTTGTTTGATGCACGGTACTAAAAATGAAACTTAACAACATTCCGTTGGTGTATTTACTTTACCTACTTCAAAACCATGAGTCCATCTCAGCCCATTATAATTAGGGCTGAGGTGGTGAAATCTGGAGAAATAGTACCGCTAGATTGCTAGATATGATACTCTTGTAAAAAAATTCTTCATTGATGTAATTAATCGCTATTGATGTTTGTGGGCAGAGACACCGGTATGTTGATATAGATATGCAATAAGATATACTCTGGCTATACAGCGCTCTGTCGGTAAAACCTGGGTCATTTATGCAGTTCATTTCAACAATTTTCATTCATCTTCTTGACTTATGAAATTGCATTTTGGACGAAAGTGAGGCGGATCAACCCCCTGTTTCGTTGATACGAAATTACTTGCGCCCTCTATATTTTGATGTCCGTGCATTTGACACTATGAGAAATTGTACATGAGCATTCATTGAGATTGGCAAAGAATTTTTTGTTTTGATGGACCAAAATGTAAGTTTATTGTAATCAGCATTATGATTAATATTTAATAGTTAATATTAATAGTTAATATTTTAGTTAGAGACCATGTTTGGGTCTTAGTGTAAATGTAACTACGTGAATTCGTTATTATATGTGTGTTACACCCAGGTAACGGCGATGAGAAATTCCTAACGATAGAGAGTCTGGGAGTGAGCTGTAAGATGTGTATATTTAGGCCGCCGCAAGCAGTGCGTGGTGCCTCGAAGTATCACTCGCTGATCGTCGTTGTTGTGAGGAGGAATTTCCCAGCGGAAATTCTAACTTGAATTGAGGGCGGTATACATGCATAATGAATAGAGTCCAGAGGGCGGTATGCAAGATTAACACAGATCTTATAATAACAAGATAGCGTTCTCCACAATTTGCGTGTAACAAATAGAAGCGTCGATTTGGCACAGAAAAGTAATCACTTTTGGGAGAGGGCGTCCTTATCGTTGCCATGGATCTGAGATAGCGTGTTCGCGTTACGCTAAAGTTCGTAACCAAGTACCTTAATTGTTCCTTAATTGTTCTAAAGAGAGGTCGCATTGTAAGTAGGACACTTCTAATTGTTATGCGTAAACGTAAATTCGCGCGGCGTACGCTATGGTCAGAGCGGTCAAGGTTCAAAAGTTTTCAAGTTTGCAAGAGGGCGCTTTTTATGCATTATTACAGAATTTGCACGCGTAAATCGCGGGGAATTCTATCTTGTGTTTATAAGATCTTTGACGATTAATGAATAGAGCATACAAAGGGCGGTATACACGTTTAATCAATTATCTGTTATGTACGGTATTTTTTTTTTATTGTTATTGTATTTCATTATAGTTTTCGAACGACGTTTAAATAAAAGTTCAAAGAGAAAACAGCATTGAGAATAATTTGTTGTCGAAATCATTCGAAAAATTTCCAATCGGACCTGAGAAATGGATGAGGCGAAGAGAATGAGACATGCACACAAACAAGATGTTGCGAGAGATATAGAGAGATTGAGAAAGGTCGTGTCTGAGAATGAACCTACAACATATATCGAGGAACTGAGTAATGATCTGAAAGAGAGCTGGAAGCGGCTGACATTTGCACACGATGCGGTTGTGAGCAAGGTCGAGGAGGAGGAGGAGGAATGGATGGACGAGATTAGAAAGAGTACGATGATATGTGGAAGATTATTTGCAAAGAAATAGTCAAGGAAGAGAAAGGAACCAAAAGTGACAAATCCATACAACTGAAGAAAATGGAACCGCCTAAATTTAGAGGAAATGTGAAGCTTTACTCCAGGTTTAAGGAGGATTTTAACAAGTTTGTGAATCCTGCGACGAATCCCGATCAACTGGCTTTCACACTAAGAACATGCTTGATTGATGAAGCACTCCGGGTTGTGACACCTGCCGAAGACGACATTAAAATCATGTAGCAGCGCCTTGATGATGAACGGTACGGAAGTAGATCGAAGTTAGTAGATACAGTAGTTGGAGAATAGGTGAAATATTTAGTAGTAAGGCGGTAAAGGAGAGTGAAGACAAGAGATTCGTGGATTTTATGGACCTCGTCGAAACCAGTTACAGAAACTTGGAAAGAGCAGGACTGGAAGGCGAGATGGGGAATTCCAGAGTAGTGGGTGAGATGGAGAGGAAATTGTCTGAAGAAGTGTTTGAAAGTGGACGAGACACATGAAAGAGAAGTTAATAACAGTAGACGAGAATGACCGGTCTGTTGAAGTTCCTGGAGAGTGAAAGGAGGAACATGCAGTACGCAATGGAGAGTCTGCGGGTCAACCCCGAGGTCAGCAACCCAAGACAGTTCTGGCTACAGACATCCGGCAAACACGACCATCATGTCATACACGACAAAATGCAACACTTGTAGTGTGCACCAGAAGAAAGGAGTAAAATGAACGAATTGCGCTTTTAAAAGAGAAAAAAGGTGCATGTTTCAAGTGTTTAAAACTTGGGCACCAGGTTGTGCAGAAAAAATGGGTGTGAGAAAACACTATTCTTCGATATATTTTGATGCCCAGCGGAAACCAGATACGAAGGAGGTAACGTCGAACTTAGCGGTTAATCCGGGAGGATGCCTAATGATGGCTATCACAATTGAGAGGGAAAAATTTGAACACAATTTTTGATGGTGCTGCGACAATATCAATGATTACCCAGTACTGCGAAGAGGAGTAGTGCTAAAGGAGAACAAGTTCGTATTGAACTTAAAAAAGTGGGAGGCGAAAAAAGTATTATTGATAATGTGATCTATGCCTGAAATCACCAAAGAACTGCGCCCACAGAGATTCGATCGACTTGCCGAATTGTACAGAAGAACAAAAAACGAA